ATTTTTTCTTACAGTAACCATGTTCTGTTCTGACCAGTGTCCGTCATTCTGTCATCTGACGGAATTTTGCTGGTCATGATCCGACATCTTTGAGTCTGACAGAAAAAAATGGCATGTAAAGATATGGAAAACTAAGACCCTGTTCACATTAATTAAAGGGCTATCCGAATAGAAAATTATTTTTGGAGTGTGAACGCTCCAAGTCACTTAGATTTTGCCCGAATCGATTGCAAAATAATCCACCTCGAGGAGGTGGTTTGAGACACTTGCGGCAGATTCGAATCGGACGAAACCGCGAGTGTGACCGCGAAGTGAATTGACTTCCGAGTTGGATTCGGCGCTGTGACGTCACTACACGCGGTCCTACCAATCAGAGCATAGAACGTGTGCTGCTACTTACTTATACATGAGAAAATGGCACCAAGTTTTGCAGGAGAGAATGCGTGTTACGAGTTTCTTTTTCCGCGGATTTTCTGACTTTCAACGCCGATTTTGGGCATGCTATGATAATGCTATTGTTGAGACAACAGATGAGTGATCATTTTACAATTGACGAGAACTTTCGTAGAATGAAACCACAATGAAAGCTACGATGCAGCAAGTTATTTTTCAAAAATATTGTCTCATGTCTGAAAGATAAGAGGCGTTTGTTTTATTTTTTGACGTGATCATACCTGGTAATTTGTAGTGGGAATGTTTCCAGTCGTGAGAAGTGGGAAGGTGGCGGCTTCGTAAAATTTTCTGGCAAAGTATAAGTTTACGAAGCTAGGCTGGTGATACATATAAATCCTATGTTTGGCAAAAATATGACGTAGCGAGATGGCAATTCCTTCGCGGGCGGGCGCAACGCTCAGATAGACAATTTTCTATTCGGATAGCCCTGTTAATCGAATAGAAAAAATGAATGTGAATGGGGTCTAAGCATAATCTACCAGCAAAATTTGTCCCTACACATGCAGGAAATACCATCTCAGAGGGTCAAGATGTCAAAGCATGTCCCTGGGACCCCCCAGGATTGTCACACATGTGCCTTTGGCGCTCGACATGACGTTATGTCATACAAAGTTTAGATGATGGGAAAATTTCAAGCTGGCTAGAACACTGTTCCATGTAAAATTGGTGTATGAGTGGCATAGATGTGGCCAAATTAAAAGTTAACTTTAACACAAGTACCCTGCCTCTCTGAATGCAGCAAATAGCGTGGTCAGCATTTACCACAGTAAAAGTTTTCCCAGTCCAACAATTTTTCATCTGCAACCCAAAATTTTCGTTGGAAATTTCAGGTCCCTTGGGACTACATGTAGGTTACTTTGCAGATTTTCCATGAAATCTGAACAGTTGAAAATCACTTGAATTTTTAAGAAATACATGGAAAGGTTACTAATATATCTATAGTAACCTTTCCATGTATTTCTTAAAAATTCAAGTGATTTTCAACTGCCTTTGGGAATTGGCTAATTTGCATATTTTTTCCCACAGATTTTTCAAGCACACAAAACCCACCCCATTTATGGGGTTTTACAAAACATTTCTAAAACCACCTCCACCCTGGTTTTGGAGCCTTTCAGCGAGGGGCCTGAAACCCTTCCTGCTGGTCTAAACAGAAAAGGTTTCGCAAAATGGCATGGACCATATGCCAATGATATGTTAATAAGCCTGTGCTTGTATCTTCTATCATGCTCGTGTCATATTTCACTTCATTCTACGAATCTATCCTTTTCTAGCTACGTCATGTCCCCCCCGACATGAAAAAGGAATCGGCAAAAGGTGAGTGAGGGGGCTGCGCTACTATTGGCATGAGGAGGAAGAAAGTCGAGTCTTGCTCAGGAATTGCCCGTCCCTGTCCATGACCCTCAGTCTCTTGTTAGGCGAGTACTCCATGACACAATGAAGGTACCAAATACTAAAAACAAGAACTTGTGTCGCAAGACGAAGTATGCAGCTCGTAAACCGCCATTTTGACCCACAATATCCCACGCCACGATTGACCCGCTAAGACTCCACCTGTGTTTACAGACAAACCGTTACCGGTTTCGAAGACTTTCGGGCTAATTTTTGATTTTGCTTTAAATGGCCAAGATCATGATAAAGATCATTCAGAAATACTCATTAATATCTGAGCAAAGCGAGGAATGTCGTGTTAAGTGCCATTCCCAAGGGCACAAGGTTGGTGACATGGCAGGATTCAAACCCAGGACCTCTTGGTTGTGAGCCGAAGATAATATACTGTTCCCAGTCTAAGACCCTGTTCATACCAGACTTATATTTAGCGGTTTCAACCGGTTTTTCAAAAACCGGTTTTTATTTAACCTGGTGTGAACGCAAATTAACCGGTTTTTTAGGGGTTTAAATCCGATTTTGAAAAACCACCTCGGGAGGTGGTTTTTGAAGGTTTTTTGTGGGGTTTTTCCACCGAAAAACCTGGTCTGAACGCTAAGGGTTTATTGAACCGGTTTTTGCGTCATAATTCCGGGGTCACGGGGTCAGCATCCTGACCGAGTGCGACCTGCAAGCTTTTTAGATCGCGTTGTTTTGACCAACTTGAGTTCGTTTCCACTGTTTTTCCATGGTTTCTCTTCATTTTGCGATGGAATCAGCATATGCAACCTGGTCGGCGGACGAGACGCTCCTGATACTTAGGTTTGGAGAGCAGGAGTCGCCGAATTCGAAAAAGCTGGGGGGGGGGCGAGGGCTCTACCGAAACAAAAATGTTGGAGGAGGCTGATTTCTTGAAGATAAAGGATCAGTGCCGCAGTAAGGTAAAAAAAAACTGAAGACGGCATACAAGTAAGAAGGCCAAGGACAACAATCGGAAGAGCGGGAGGAACGGTTATTCAAACTGCAGTCATGGCCGATTAATTGGATATTCACCGGACAGGATTTTTTCAAAACCGGTTATCAAAAGTCTGGTATGAACGCTAAGGGTTTTAGCCGGGTTTTTGAAAAACCGGTTGAAACCGCTAAATGTAAGTCTGGTATGAACAGGGTCTAAAGTGGGTCTTAGGCCCATAAAACAATTTTGGGTGCACAACTGTGGAAAACTTAGCAAAAAATTATGAATTTGTTTGTTTGGGCATCAATTTATGTGTTTCTATTGAAAGTTTACAAGAATGACGGCATTTGTGAACACCTGTTTCCTGGACCCAACTTCTACATCTGACGTTACAGGTGGACCGCTGGGAGCACCATCAGACTACTGGAGTAATAGTCCTACAGGCACACAGAAAAATCAAACTGGTCCCACCCCATACAAGGACATGCACTGGCACAATCAGCAACTCACTAGCAACTATTCTGGCATCTACCTGCTCCTAACCTACACGCATGTACTGGGTATATGACACTGAGGATATTTGTCAGCTTTATTTTATCAATGTTAATCATTTATGAAATGCCAAAATAAAGAATGGTAAATTTGAAATGATTTCTGAATAGTTGCTAGTGAGTTGCTTTTATCTGAATACCTGCCTGCATATGCAGGTGTTATTGAGAGCCTTGGATAGGTTTCTAACTTTGTAAAGAACACATCTGCATTTTGTCAATGTGTGGCATACAAATTATGACATCAAACAATGCAAGGCTAAAATACCCTTCCTTATCCTATGGGCTAACCCATTAAAAATCTCTACCGGTTATAACTTATTCTGTAACATAGACTGCACAAGACTCAAGAAAGTCAGCCAATCTCTTGGTGGTCATCACCAAATAAATGCTCATAAATAAATACCTTGGTAATGTATACAGTTGAGTAAGGCCTCTGTGGTGAATTGGACATACCATGACCTTTTAAAACCTTAACTCTCATCTTGTCATGATATTGCTCTCCAAAACAATGAAACCAACCTGAGAATTGTGTTTCTATCATGTATTCTCAAAGCCTTCATGAAGAAGTATGTGTTCCTGCGCTAAAATGGCTGTGAAAATTCAAACAAAACAGGCACAATATTTTGTTATATAGCTTAGTGCCCACTTTCAGGTATCCCCACATGCATGCCACAAACATACAATCAGTCATTTCCAGATCTCGGGCTGCAGAAAAAAGTGGGTGGGATAAACCAAAAGTGCATAATTTTGTCATGTCTTGTTTTGGTAGTAAATTTGCACACATGGGGATCTAACCTGAATACCCTGCCCGAGACAGGGACTAAAAACTCTTTCCATCAAAGCATAAATACCACTTGGGATTTCCTGCCATGATCGAGATGTATGTGTCAAAAGATTTCCTTATAAAACTTCAAAATATTTGGATATGCAAGCGTATACAACTAAGTAACGTTATAACGTTATATATTCGGCAGGGATTTATGGGACAGTTTTCAGGAGTAACCGAACCACAACATTAACTCAAACGGTATCAAAGACGTTTTAAAACACAGGCAATTCTTCGATAAACATCGCAAACGTTCACGATCGTGACAAACGAGCAGACGCAAATAATATGGAAACTCAGATAATTTTCAACATCAGCCGCCGCCATTTTGATTTGAAACGTTCGCCAACCCATTATTTCATACCTTCTGGTCCTGCCTATCTGATACACCACGTAAAATCGTATTCCACAACAAGGAGGAGAAAAACACGAGAAAACCTAGCTAACCACATTCATAGATTCCAACTTTACTTGCACAAAATACGTGCGACCAACTACATTCTTACAGTAATCCTGTTGTTTTCGCCGGAAAATAGCAGGGCTAGTTTTGGCAAGATGGCAGCCACCCTACATGCATCGATTTCTCATAATAGTGCCTGTCATGTACCTCACTGTCAAAAATTCACCCACCAATTGCATCAAAATAAATACCACCATCAAATGTGGTGTGTAAATGATATCTAGGACAGAAGATCTTTATGCTCTCTCTGTAAAGATTACCGGGTGCCCACCCTTACCTAAATACACAAACCAGTATCGGTACAGAGACTTCAGTACTTGTAGGGTCGACAATGAGTCAGGTTTTTACAACACACGTGCCAATTTTATATGTTCTTAACAATTTACTTACCTCACTATGCACTGAAGATGTTGAAATCTTCACTTAGGCTGAAATAATCCAAAATCTCGGGGAGAAAATGCAATAATTTGGCCCGTTCTAAGCTGTTCTGCAGGTCAGGCTGATTTTGGGTGCGGTGCCCCTGCGCTCACAGACCTGCAGCCCCGACAACACAGGATGGTCATCTGTGCGCACGCGCCAATTAAAACATCTTTTATCTTAATGACCATCAAAAATGTTTAAAATCCACGTAGTTTATCCCAAAGGTTAAATATATCCACGGTGTAAAGATTTTTAGTTTAGAAAATTACTTTCTTTTAGAAAGCACAACGAGACAGATGTTTTTTCTTAGATATTGACCAATCAGGGCAAAACCAATGGCTACGTTTCTGGCGTTTACAGTATTCATCATTGCCCAGATCTGTAGAACGAAACAGAAAGAAAATATTCATCAAAAATGAAGAAAACGACAACCAAATTTACTTAAAGGACAGATTTATATTAACATCGTAAGATTGACTGGGTGTTTTTAGGTATGGGTAGTTTTTACTTAAATATAGAACAACAATAATAAATGTTGTAGGGGTGACAGATGTAAAATAGAAGAGCCACACGTCCCTAACAGGATAATGTTATATGCAGACGACAAAAAAACAGAACGCTGGCAAAGATGGCGGCAAGACCAGAATCGTCCATTCTAGCTGGGCTATTTTGTGCCGTATTCCTCCTTTTTTGCTCAGTATCATCAGTCAATAGTGACCAGGAAGGTAAGATTACTTAGTGTATCTTTAAGTAAGGTTCAGTTTATTCGAAAATATTCCGCCCAGAAAGGACATACACATGCACATGCCTCTCCCGACGTCTAAGATAAAATCGTGTCACTTCGCTTGGATGATGACGTTAAACAAGTAACTTTCCAGTAACGTTAATGTTGGAAACATGAGCTAGCTACGCCCGAGCCTGCTACAGTCAGCTTTGGTATGATTCGTTTATTTTTCAGCTAAATGCATAATTTTTATTTGAAAAGATCGTCACAAGAGAGAAGAAAAGTCCAACTCAAGGCAACTGTCTAGACACAAACTTCCGCCTCTTTTCATTCAGTTCCAGACCACAACAAACTTTCTGTGTTTGGCACATAACGGGAGTGAAATAAAAGTCATTAGTAAGCTGTAAGTTCTAACATTTAAACGCGTCGCAACCAACGGTTTAGTTACTTGTTTGGTGTGTATGTAAGTTTGTAACGCTAACGGTCCTGATTTGTTATCTGTGCGATGTGAATAAGTTTGCGTAGGTTTGGGTTGAATGCTGAGTTGTATAAACGTCATCACAGACAAGAATTTAGGAAGATCATCTGCCGGAATTTGTAAGAAGTTTTGTTCAGATTTACCGCTTATTGCAGCGTTTCCCCTATTTAGTGGAACTTTCTATAATAATTTGCCATCCACAGTCTTCACAATCACATGTGCATGTGAAGACAAGAGGTCTGGTGCAAATTAGCATGAAGATCCTGGAATCATGGAACTGGTCACGTAGGCATCCTCCAAGGACCGCCGACAGGGAAGGGGACTCCTGCGGGTGAACAAGTTGCGCGTGAAAAATTTAAGAACTTTTGAATGTGTAAAAAAAATGCACTACCAAAGAAAAACGTGCCCCTGTAATAAGATTTTCCACGTACAATCTGAAATTTTGTTTCAAAAACTCTTGATTTTGTTGTTCTTGTTTGTTGGGCCATTGGGAATATGCTAATTTGCATATCTTCTTTGAAACCTTCTTTGAAAATCACTTGAATTGGTCAGAAATGCATGGAAAAATCACTAGTGTAAGGTTTTGTATCTTAATTTTGTTAAAATGTAAACACTTGAGGATTTTATATTTTTTCAAGCAGGTTCTTTCACACACAAATTTCAAACTTTTTTGTGTGTGAAAACTAAACCTTTGAAATTTGAAAAAAAAATCACAAGGTCATGAACTCTAGAATGCAACAATATGACACTCCATTCCATTTTATGACTTCTGAAACTTAGTTTATAGAAGGGCATTCAAAACAGCAAAAATGTTTTCAATCCGTTGGGAATTAGCTAATTTGCAAATTTTTCACGCCCAGAAAAGCCCCAGCCATTAACAGCATGGTGCCAGGGATGACCATTGTCAATGGGGAGATTTGGGTGGCGAGTCTGCATTGTCAGTAGGCCTTGAATGACAGCAGGGATGACAGAGTGCAATGAATGCAATTAGTATAACAAACAACAACCAAGGACATTATCATAATGTCCTTGCTACAACATGTAGTATTGAATTAGCGCAGATTGACTACAACTAAGGCCACACCAATTTAATTTGTTGTTTCTCGGATTTTTTTAAAATCTGAAGCGACAGGGCGAAAAAAAATAAAACCAGGCCTAAGCATCCGATGATAGTCCTAAACTAAAGCTATCGGCTATTCCAAGGTCAGCGTGTACCAGGGTGATACACAATCACTCTCTCCCATAGGTTATTCAGCCATCGGGGCAGCATGCTCATGATGCTGTCTGGCCAAGATCTTCCACTACTGACGGTCTTCTGCCAGTCTGGCCATCTGGTTGGCTGTTAGACTGGTCCATAATCCATGACCAACGGGACGCCCCCGTGGCCGTGCACCTTCCACCTTTCCCTGAAGGGTGTTACACTTAGGCCAATTTTTCACATTTCAAAATTTTCCACTTTCTGTACAGAAACTTGTACTACAAGTGATACCATGCATGATGCTTTTAAATTTTGGATAGCAATGAGCGGTTTTAAAGTTGTGCTCCTTCAAACTTGAGTGCGTTACTTTACGATGGACACTACAGACACTTAGGCCCCGTTCATGATTGGATATTTGTTGCGAATCAATTCGATTTAAAAAATAAATCGATTCATTTGGGAACATGAACGCTCCAAACCGGTTCCGTTGCGATTTATTCTGAACCACCTCGCAAGGTGATCTGAAACGATACAGAACAATTCGCGTTCGTAGAATTGTAATCATGAACGCGCGGATGCGAATCGTTCCGGTTTGACGCTGTACTCCCGGATACGTGGGGGCCACTGTTTGCCATAGTTTGCGGCGCAGTGGCTTGTACTGCGGAAAATTCTACTTGAATCGTAGAATCTTGACATCGAGTTCTAATTACTGGTCGACTGAGGAAACGGGAATTCCGATATTGACTTGGGGAAATCAGGAGATCCAGAGGAAACTAGATGATGTGCACTAGAACCTACCCTGGGCGTGAGGGCGAGTGGTAGCCCAACGGGGGCGTTGGGGCAGCGGACCGTGGGGGTTTGCGCCAGATGCGTCCGGGGCACAACCTATGGGGAGGACATTAGTCGGGAACGAGCGACCACTCGCCCGAAACAGGCGTAAACTCTCCGCCTTACGAGCCGGGTTGTCAGGAAATATTCAAAGAAATTGTGATATACATATGAATGCAAGTCAATTCGAGGTGTGAAACCGTTTCCAGTGTGGGAGCAAGTTTGGAATCACGGACGCAAAAATATATTCCGTTTTGATTCGGATCGTGGCCAAACCGGAACACATTTCAATCATGAACGAGGCCTTAGACCCCATTCACACTCAGTTTTTCCATTCGATTAACAGGGCTATCCGAATAGAATATTTTTTTTTTATTCCGAAACATGTAACGTTAATCACAAGACGTGGTGACGACACACTCAAGTTTTTTCAACTTATATTAATGCCGACACCAACACAGGGACAGTACAATACTCATTTACACCTGAGCGAAGTGAGGAAAGTCGTGTAAAGTGCCTTTCCCAAGAGCACAAGATCGATGGCATGTCAGGACTCGAACCCGGGGCCTCTGGTTCCGAGCCGAGAACGCTGCCGCTGCGCCACACGACCCCACGTTAAATAGAATATTATCTATCCGAATAATTTTTTGGAGTGTGAATGCTCCAAATCACTTAGATTTTGCCCGAATCGATTCCAAAATAATCCACCTTTTTTGGTCAGAACTTACCAAATTCATGTACCTTATTTTAAAAATTGCTTATTTTAAAGAACCCCAAACCACCTCCACCCTGGCAACCAGCGTCCAAAGTGCTTCCTATTGCA